TCACCCAGTTACTGCATTGAGAATGTCACCTCGATTGGTGATGAAACGTTTGCAATACAATTGCCAAGCTCGGCGAACAACTGAACACCAAGTATATAGATATATATATGCTATGATGCTTGCATGTGCGTGGATGTATGATCGATGTTGCGTAGAAGATTGGAGAGCACCACCACACCCACGCACCCAAACACACACACACACACACGTTTACTGACTCACAAATTCGCGTTATTCAACGTGAGCACTGCCTCTCAGATCATGTATCTGGTTACATTGTCCAGCGGTTGCGCCATATCACGTAATAGGTATCTAGTAATTTGTATCTGATAAACTCTCTCAAACGAAATTTGGACCGTTTCCGTCACAGAAATATCGATTTGCACATGCATGTGGTCAGTGGACATGCCATGTTTGGTCAATATTACGCTTGTTGATTAGTCTGGAAAATGATCAAGGAGAGGTCTGACCATTCATGCATCCATTGGGTGACCAATCGATCACATCGACTGTATGAATGCCACTTGGCGTCTGTTGTGGGAGGCCATGTTTCAGTCGAAGCTACTGCGTTCGATTCGTACGGAATTAGTGATTCAACTATGTGCCCGTATTGCCTGCAATCGATCAACTTAATCTGATTTGCACTACAATCAAGATGAATGATGCGATCAGCGATCAGCAAGCGGAGAAATTTCGTTTCCGATGTTGCAACTGGCTTCAATTGCGTATAAATCGATTTTTCAGCAATAATTTTCAGTCCTCTGGGTTTGGTGTGTTCTATTGCATGACAATTTCCAACTACGTCATTCGAAATGGAATGTAGTGGAATATCGAATGGTCAGAACAGAACCACACCACAACAACTCGAGCATCGCAAGTTGGTGTCAATCCCTCTCTCGTACGAAGAAATAGCTCTTGATGACCCATTGAACTAGGCCCGGTCCTCACGCAACCAGAACTATCATCAAACAGAGCATCGATTAAAAACCCTGAGGCTGGTTGAATCGGGCTCGTTGTCATTATGCCGTCGAACAGGGGTGTCGAATAGTCGTTTCTGTATTACATACACACTTTAGTGTGATGAACAGCAGACGAGATAAGCCCCACAGTCACGAGGACCTGCTGTTCAACGATGGGAACCGGTAATCAAAGCCGTGAGATTTGGAGTGCTGAACCACATCAGGCCCCACGCTAGGTTAGGCGTGCTATTGAACTAGACGACAGCAAAGCTGCCTACGACGAAAGTCGGGTGTTGGTGGCGGGGTTCGAACCTCATACCATAGGGTCCAAAGTATGGCGACCAAACCACTGCGCCATCACCATCGTAGTCGTTGTAGTCACCCAAAGGTAATGAATGGTTGCCACACTGTATTGTTTCTCTGTCAGCTTGACGCGTCCTCTGGGCTTATATTTCGATAACTGGTGTCTGTCTTCCCGGACTATCTTGTTTCGACTGCACGGGGGACACAACTAGTTTCAGGCACTCAGGCAAATGGCACCTGTTACAAGTCACATGAGAATTTTCGGAGGAATCAGCTTGTACCGTTGAGTAATTCAAAAGCGTTTAGTAGGTGATCAGTGGTTGGTTGTGTATGCAATGGCTTCGAAGTTCGGTGTGGCAGATTTTGGTAGCTGTTAGAAGATCCTGTCAATGCACACCACTACGTTGACACGGGATAAGGAAGATAGTCGTAACAATGCTTTTTGCAGTTCAACCTGTCGTTATGTCTTCTCGAGATGTGCGGGCATTATTTCAATATGTCCGGGTATCACTCCAGGCTTGCTCGTGCTCCCTGCGTAGTCGAAATATGATAACATAAGGAGGACAGGCCTCAACCTTGAAGGCGGGCTGCACCATCTGAAGCCAAAGCTGAAGCCAGATTATTCATACCTCTACGCCATGTCATGGTCTGATCGCTGCGGCGCTTCTTCCATCCCTGCCGGGCACGTGCGAAGAGTGCACGGAAAATTATTCGTTGGACAGGGACATGGAAAACATTACTAAGCCATCAGAGGCGGTGTAGAGCGATTACTTCCGTTAAAGAGCGACTATCCGAACCCAGCATACGATGACAAATTTCGCCATTGCTAACCCGATGTTATCACCAGACACGAGCAATGCTTCGGAGACATCGGTGTTCGAATACAGAAAGTCGATTAACATCCTCAACGCGGAGAGGCTAGGTCTCGTAACCGTAAAGCAGAACGCTACCAACCGCGGCGATGTACACCCTTCCCTTGGGGGACAGTTGGATGTCATGGCAACGCCACAGGTGTCGCAGGTTGGCTAAAGTTACTCTAGCTTTTGCTATTCGTGATGCGATCTCGTACCCAACACCACCAAAATCATCTGTGATTAAGATCCCGAGGTACTCAAAGCTCTCAGCTGATAACCACAGAGGATGAGTGCAGACACAAACTCTTGTCAGTCTTGAGCAACCACTTGGCACTTGGAGGATGCAAAGCACATACCAAAACTAGATGCCTTGATCG